CAATGAATACTTTATTAATGTTTTTTCTACATATAGGCGAATTTACAGACAAACAATTAAGTGTGCAACACAAATTTACTATAGTAAACGAATCAATCGTGCTGATAACAAGCAACGAGAAGCCTGGAAATGTGTCAACGAGTTGAGGGGTACCGCAAGGAAATTACGGGTAGAGTCAAGCCTATCAGCGGGAGATATGAACAACTTTTTTTGTTCCATTGCTGCCTCATTGTCAAAAAACATTCCAAATAATTCTGATTTTAAACAGTTCTTAAATGACAATGGTATCCAAGCTTCATTTTTTCTTTCTCCAACTGATACAGTTGAAATTAGGGAGACTATGTCTGAAATTAAAAAGAATGGGGCTGCTGGATGGGATGAAATATCTATTCGACTGTTTCTGGCGCTTCCAGATGAGGCAATAACTGTTTTGTCTGAGTGTATTGATTTGTCGTTTTGTGAGGGTATTTTTCCAGAATGTTTGAAGCGGGCAGTGGTAGTGCCTTTGTTTAAGGGTGGGGATCAAGATCTACCTGAAAACTACAGGCCAATAGCCTTATTACCGGTGCTTTCTAAAATCATTGAAAGATTAGTAAAAAAACGCATGAATGCATTTCTCCTTAAGCATAACATATTAAACACTAGACAGTATGGGTTTCAGGCTGGTAAAAGCACTGATGACGCTGTATTTTCTTTTCTTGAAAATTTGTATTTGAGTCTGAACGATGGGGAGGTGGCAGCAGCAGTGTTTTGCGATTTAAGCAAAGCATTTGACTGTGTTGACCACGAAATACTGTTGCACAAGCTTGAGCTTTACGGGTTCAGGGGTATAGCTTTAAAATGGTTCAAGTCATTTCTTACTCACAGAGTTCAGAAGGTTTCACTAAACGGTACACAATCGGAGCAGGAAGAAGTAGGATATGGGGTACCACAAGGTTCCGTTTTGGGGCCAATCCTATTTTTACTGTATGTTAACGACTTGGCGAATCTTAACATATCGGGTAAATTCACTTTGTTTGCGGATGACGCCACTATACTGTGGCAAAAATCAGAAGAAACATTACTTAACGAGGTTGTAGCTTCTGACATAGAAATAATTAAATCCTGGTGTGATGCAAACGGGTTAACTTTGAATATAAACAAAACTAATGTAATGTCATTTGGCTGCAATTTGAGGGATATTTTTTTGAATGGTTCTTTACTAAAAAACTTGACAGAAAATAAATTTTTGGGAGTTTCCATTGACAACTGCTTGAAGTTTGAATCACACATAATTTCTTTGCAGAATAGATTGGCGTCCAATTGTTCACAGAACATATCACCTCTAGAAAAGTATCTGCAATGGTATGTACCGGTTATGAATTACAGCGCCATCGTTGAATGAAAACCCAACTAATCGAGCATTCTTGACAAAAAGGCGAATCTATTTTTTCCCTATATTTTTAATATTTTTAAATAATTTTTAATGCTCAACTGCATTTGGCTTGCTGACTCCTTTTAGCTCTTTTCGCCTCATTTTCTTGAAAACTATGACTGGCAGGAAGTTTCCAATGTCGAACATAGTGCAAAGAGAGTTAGTAAGTTAGCAAGCGACACGCAGCTATAGGTAGATCGTAAAGTAAATACGAATAATAAATACAAATACGAACGAAACGAAACAAACGAACAAATACAAAAAATACGAACAAAAATTTGGGTTTTTTTCAACCAAAACTTTTTGAATTTTCACTTTATCGCGCGTGGGGACCGTGGGGTACAACCACAGAACATATCACCTATAGAAAAATATCTCAAATGGAAGAATCGCGACAAAGGTTTTTAGTTAGGTTTTCATTCAACGATGGCGACACTGTCGGGAGATAAGAGAAATTTACAGGTATCTGTGGCGTGGACAGTGATTTGCGTTGGTTGGTTTTGTCATTTATTTTGTCATTTTAAAAGTCAAAATTTGAATTTTTAAATTGTTTTGTTGTACCACACGGTTTCTACGCGCGGTAAAGTGAAAATTCAAAAAGTTTTGGTTGAAAAAAAACCTAATTTTTGTTCGTATTTTTTTGTATTTATTCGTTTGTTTCGTTTCGTTCGTATTTGTATTTATTATTCGTATTTACTTTGCGATCTACCTATAACTGCGTGAAACTTCCTGCCAGTCATAGTTTTTAAAAAAGTGAGGCGAAAAGAGCTAAGAGGAGTCAGCAAGCCAAATGCAGTTGAACATTAAAAATTATACAAAAATAATAAAAATATATGAAAAAAATCAATTCGCCTTTTTGTCAAGAATACTCGATTAGTTGGGTTTTCAGTCAACGAGGGCGCCGTAATTCATAACCGGTACATACCATTGCAGATACTTTTCTAGAGGTGATATGTTCTGTGGGTACAACAACACAATTTAAAAATTCAAATTTTGACTTTTGAAATGACAAAATAAATGACAAAACCAACCAACACAAATCACTGTCCGCACCACAGATACCTGTAAATTTCTCTTATCTCCCGACAGTGTCGCCATCGTTGATTGAAAACCTAACTAAAAACCTTCGTCGCGATTCTCCCATTTGAGATATTTTTCTATAGGTGATATGTTCTGTGCAATTGTTATGCAATAAGGGTATTGTCAGGTGAATTGGATGTGGGAATCGTCAGAAATGCTTACTTCGCCCTGATTGAATCTCATTTGCGATACGGTATTTGTTTCTGGGGTACTTGTTCCCGACAATTGTTTCAGAGTGTGTTCGTCTTGCAAAAGCGAGCTATCAGATATTTGTTTAGGGCCAGAATGCGGGACTCGTGTAGGCCTTTATTTTTAAACAATAGAATTCTGACCCTTCCATCGCTGTTTATCTTAGAGAGTGTATGTCTTGTACATAAGAAATTCAAACATCAGTTAGTGGCTGAACGCGCGTATAATTTTAGACAACAACATCAACTTTCCCTCCCAATTCCCTCTTCCGAGTTGGTAAGAAAGTCGATTATATATAATGGCAAGAAAATGTTTAATAACTTACCACAGTCAATTAGATCGATTTTCACTCCAGTTAAATTTAGGAAGGAGGTAAAGAAACTGCTACTTGCGGGAACTTATTATAGTATTGAAGACTTTTTTGATGCTGCTTGATGCTTTTTGATTTTATATGATCTTGTATGTGAATTATTTTTTCTTTTTTATCTGTTTTTGTTACCCCTTCAATATTGGTTTTGTACAAGACGTTTTATCACCCTCAATGTAAAAAATGGTCTCTGTTCTTTTAAATTATACATTTTTAATTGTGTCTCTGGTTCTTGAATAGAAACATTTGTTGTGTTTTATTTAAAGTTTTTTTTTTTCTTTTTTAAGTTTTATTTGTATGACTCTTACTTTTAAGTTTTATTTTTTATACTGATTTTTATATCTTAAATGTTTTGTGAGGTCTTCTATTCTAAGTATGTATACATTTAGATATTTTTCGTTACTACAACCAAAGATTTACAACTGTGTACTTCATTTTTTTTTAGACCTAGGATCGGCTTTTGTGAACAAATATTCATATTTACACAATAAAGCACATTTTGAGTTTGAGTTTGAGTTTAGGGAACCATCTGCTAATTCTAAAAATTTTTCACGAATAGTTTCTTGAAAAAAAGATAGTTACCCATTGGGATGAATAAATATCTATAGCTAGGTATGTGGAAGCTAAGTATATAAAAAAGTCATCATGAGTGACTGCACGTTGGACACCAGCATGGCTGTTTGCCTTTTATCTGAACCGATCCAGTAGGACAGATTACCGATGGACAATCGCATATCACTTGACAAAAAGCTTGATTGATTTGACAGACTCCTTTACTATAAACTAAATTTCCGCCGCAGGAGTCTAGGCATTTGTCTCCGGGTTCTAAAAATGACGAAACTAAACATTTATAATAAAATATTAAGCTAATCCGTGCCAGGACGAGCTCAGAACTTTGATCCTGGCACCAAGATATTAGATTTAGCATATAAGAACATTTTATTTAACTTTATTAATGATAATTACAATTCATGTCCAAAACGAAATAATTTTTCTTATAATAGTTATTTATACACCAAGTGAGTTAAATAAATTTTTATCCATGAGAAGAAAGTTTAACCCACGAGCCCTAGCGAGTGGATTGATTTCCTCCGAATGAATAAACATTTTAACTCACGTGATGTATACAAAGTTTTACCCCATTTTGTGGAAATTTAAAACGTGGTGATAAACGTCTACTTACCTTTGTTGTTATGCGTTCAATAATGTAATTTTTAAAGGTCAAAATGGGATAAATATATTAATAAAAAAAATCTTACCTTTATTTTGGGAAGCTACAAAATAAAAATGATTGGAAGTGACCAGTAAAAATATGAAACAAGTAAATAAGAGTGGCTTCATTTTGTTAAACAGTAGGAAAATAAGTAATATAAAAATATCCTATAATGTTATTTTATACCGTGAAAGAGAATGGGTTTTTCTTGTTTAATTACGTCGTTGGCAATGCATTATAACTAGAAAAAATACATTTAATTACATACTGTAATTGCAAAGCTTCAACGAGAATAGGTACCTATTCCAGCTCTGATCCCAAAATTTAAGTAAATTTAAAACAATTGTTCATAAAAATAGTTTAATTAAAAAAAAAAAAATAACAATAATTATCAAGGTTTTTTCTTTTTTTTTTCAGGTGAGCTATGTGATGGTCCGAAGCTGCCTCAGCAGCATCAGATGTCAGCCTAAGCGGAGGTCTTTCGTATATTCAGAAACAACATCATTATTGAAGGGTGGTGATTCTTGAAATCGACCATATCGTCATTAATTCAAGTGAACTCTTGGTTTTTTTGACAGGCTCGATCTGTCGTTCATGTTATCTTCTTAGTGTTATTTTACCGTATTATTGCCCTGATACAAAAATAACTGCTAATTTTAACATTTTGGAAATACTCTGGGACCACAACAGTTTCAATAAGGTGTTTTAAATAATTTCCGCAAGAAGTAAAACTCTACTACTTTTAAAATATTTTATTGAATATAATTATTTACACTCTAGAATTATTAATATTACCGTAAAAGCATAAAGACTGGCAAAACCTCAGATTGTCGAGCTAAATCCAAAACGAGTAAACTAGTGTTGAATGGCTTATACTAGTAGAAAGTAATTGTCTGGTGAAACTGAATTATCAATGCCTTACAAAATGTCAAATAATTGCAAAGTATCCCAGAGTACGAGCCAATCTTCGCATGAAGATAAGCTCGTATTGGGTTAGAATGGATTGGTTTGGGGTTGAACTCTACACATAATTCAATAGATATAATTTCGTACATCCTCCAAAACCAGTCATAATTATCGTGAAATGTTCAGACAAATTTCGTGATCGGTTAAACACTAGGATCTGCCCTGTCTATCGGTCACCACATATCGATTTAACATACTTCCGCGTATGACCGTAACAGAATCAAATCATTTATAAATTTTACTAACGCAGAGGGGCAAATCCTAGGATTACCTTTTATGAAACATATAATTTTCAATCTTTTACTACTCCTACCCCTAATATATTGATATGATGAGCAAAAAAATTAATCAAAAACATAATTAATTACACTTTTTTTCGCAAATTCCATTAGAACAAACAAGATTTTCTCCGCAACTCAGTGAACCATCTGCTGTCACCAAACATTTGTCTCCAGGTTCTAAAATGAAAAAAAAAACAAAAAAAATGTATTATTATAGAAATTACATATTAGAGTTAGGCTGTTCGATCAATGAATCAACCATGAAACTCTCCAAATCCAATAACATGCCTTTATAAGAAAGAATGCTTCAAAACTGATGCAGAATACGTGTATTTTTACGAGAGCTTATTCTAGAAACCACGAGTCTACTATAGGTTCACTACCCAAGTAACATTTTAAATGCTTTTTGGCATTATCTAGGTTATATGAAAGCCTTAAGATTGTGAAACTAGAAGCTTACTATTTTAAAACTATTTTGTTTTATTAAAGAGCTGTAACAACATTGTAATCACGTAATATTACAGCCTTTTAGTATTAAAAACGCGAATAGTCTTAAAGTAGCCGTAATAATCCTGCAAACATTTCTAGCTTAAAGCTATTTTACTTTAAGAAAGATCTGGATACCGTTCTTCTTTATCTTAACCTACGAATAAGGAATTCAGCTGTATCAAGGGAGTGCAAAAGTAAAGCTTAAAATTACAATAAAACCGAAGATCAATAAACCTTTCAGGCTTCAAAAAAAGATGTCTCTAAACTTCATACCTTTCTCCGATACCAGAAACAATTTTTCAAACTTAATTGGGTTTAAGAATGGGAGTAAAGAAGCTGCAATAATTCTCATGTGAAAGTGGCAGGCGACATCTACCGTACAATAAAATTAGTACCTATTTTAAAATCTTATTTTATCCTAACAAAAAGCTTGTTTGTGGTCTGTAAGGCCGTGTCTAACGTAACGGTTTGTTTCAGTCCACAACAAAAAACAGGTGGTTAGAGTGGTTTACTTACAAAAGGCCTTTTCGGAAAGATAGAAAGCAAATAGCTGGTAATCGGATTAATGAGAATAATCGGATCTGGATCAGCGTTTCCGAAAAAGCCTAATGTTTTCAAAATTTTATGCTATATCTAGCGAAGAAGATCCAAACCCTCTCAACGCACCAAGCAGGTCCCAAGATCACGAGAGCATTGAAAGAGTTTGAATCTTCTCTGCCAGATGGAAACATAAAAATTTGAAAGCAGCCCTAACAACCTGTTTCAGACAAAGAACTTGGAGTTTTATGAAGATTTTTTAGAGCCGTTTTATCCACCAGAAGCTCTAGGAATCACACGCTTTAAAGCAAAATAGCTTTAAGAACAAATAATCCAAGGTTTGCAGGCCTATTTTCACGCAATTAAGATTTGTGATATATAATGAAAAGAACTGTTAGCTTTATCACTATTCCGCCATGTTTGATTGTCATTTGAACGCGTTTGAATGGAATCCATTTTGTAGAAAAATATATTCACTGTTTATTTTCAGGTATTTTGTTGAATCTGGTATTGCAATTATGATTTTACAGCTTATTATAATTGATTCATCATATTTATGCTTCGAATATCCATAAAACGTGTAAAAAATTGACACATTATAGGATAGTATTTTCATATTTTTATCAAAATTAGGGTTTTTTCAAGGCCCACGAGTTATTTGAACCTTTGAAGTACACTTTCATCAGTAAACTTGGGTTTGTATGTGAATTTCAATGCAGAATCACGTCTATCTGCGAATTATATTTTGTGTAATACCGCTCATAGTTATCATAGATCGTCCATTACAGATGTAAGTTTAAATTATGTTTGTGGGAAATTATGGCGAAGTAGAAGAATTGATAAAGTTTGGTTAAGCCCCTAAAGTTTTAAGAATATAAATTTTGTTGCCATTTTTATTTTAAAAAATTCCATTTGTGCTACATTTCTTCCATTTGGCTTTTCAAGGCGGCCTAATAGTTTTATCATAGACTTGGAGTGAGTTTTATGGACGCTGTCTGTATAGCTATAAAACTTTGCCTTTGGAAACCTCAAAGCTTTAATAAGGTTTTATAAAAGGCTGTTAAAGCAATCTTAGGGGTGGGCCCTTGCAGTCTTAGAAGAACTTTAATACGGTTCTTTAATGGCTGCTAAGACAATATGGCTTTATAAAATATTTTTATTCTAGGTTTTATAGTAACTCTTAACACTTTTTTAAAGCTAAAAATGTTACTTGGGTATGGTGAGGCTCAGCAGTCTTCAAGCCTACTTGAATATACATATATAAAAAAGAGATTTACAGAGGATCCCAGAGATTCATCGCCGATGGTAGGAATATATTGAGTCTCAAGCAGCTTTAGGACAATAGCCATAGGAACGACAAAATATAGGAAAAACATACGCATATTAGAGCAAAAAAAAAAAAACAAACAGACAGGAAGAATCATCTGGTTGGTGGTCATCCACTCTCAGAGGGTCAGCACGAAATAATTCTTAACAACACCCAACCCAAACTACGATTCTAAAATTATTTGCTGAAAGGTAATACAAATTCCGAGAAAACCGCCCTATTTAAAAAAAAACCATATGGCTCAGTACCTAATGTATGAATTTGATGACTTCCTGCTAGAGAATAATCACGAAACGACACCTTATCGACGCCCAGTCCCTCCAACTGCAACATCTCTATATTAGGAATTGGAGTAGACGCTAAATTACCAGCGTCTGTTGAGAGGTATGAGACACGACGTACAACGTCTCTGGCCTCATTGCTTTTGATAATGTCTACCTTATTTGCAAGCCTAACATCAAGATATAATTTTTACGCACTACAGCCAACAAGCTACCGGCCGTAAAAGCTTTCCTTCTTCAACGAAATGTTCAAAGTTTAAACAAGCCCTTTGCATTACCTGGTAAAATGCACGTTGGACATCTACAAGGCTCTTTGCCAGGAACCTGGACGGAACCAGTAATACAGAGTACCAATGGACAATTACAGATTACATCGCAAGAAGCGTCACTTTTTCGACAGACTCCATCGCAACAAATTAAATCCGCGCCACAAGTAAGGTACCCTTCGAAAGTTTCCAGACATTTGTCTCCAGGTTCTACAAAAGAAAATAAATATATTTTTTTTAAAATGTAATAATAATGAATTACTGGGCACAACGCAATGCGGACATCGACAGGGTTTTGGTCCTGATACTATCACAGCTGACGCAGAACATTTCATTAAAGGACAATTGCAATCCTCACAAGGTTTAGCTGAAACAAAATATTCAAGCAAAAACATCAAAACATATTATTAATAAAAAATATTTACCAATATCTTGGCAAACTCCATTGCAGCAGGTGAGATTAGTAACCTCTTCTCCACAAGTAGAAGTTCCTTCAAGTGACTCGTAGCATTTATCTCCAGGTTCTGAAAAATTTATTGATACAAAAAATGTGCAACTTTCTTGAATAAGGTGACTAGTATTGAAATATGTTGCATTTAGATTCATGAAAAATACATTCACCAACTTGTTCCTTTCCTGGCCAAAAAATGTAAACTTTTAATTTTCTTGGGAGTTGGTCAGGTTCAGTTGAACTAGAATTATTATTAGACAAACAGAAATAAATGGAGATTAATTTTATGGATATTCATCTATAGGTTAAAAGCAAAGAATAGAATGTTATTTGTCCAAAATTCCCTAATACAGACTGATCACTCATCACTCATTCAAATAACCCCCTTACAAATATTTATCCGAGCTGAGGCTTTAGGTACCTATACTACCTACTATATTATGATTGTAACAATGGAAAACCCCAAAAATATATTATATAGTTTTTAGATAACTGATTGATCTGTTAAAAAGAAATGGCAGTACTTGGCTCAACGCAATATGGACATCTACATGGTTTTGGACCATATACAAAAATGCTTTTAGGTGTGCAATATGGTCTTGGACAGGGGTCATGGCATTCATCACAGCCAAGTTCTCCTGGAAAAAAGAGCATACATAAGCAAAATCATATTTAATAGTCAAGAATATGATGTATCCTCTCCTGTTATTTCAACAGATGTAATAACACAGCATCGTGACGTATAGAATAAACAATGACAGATAACTTAACTTTGCTGCTAAAATAACAGAAAATGCTTCATCATAGTCCTGATTAAATAATATTACTTTGACAAATTCCATTGCAGCAAGTAAGGTTTCCACAGGTTAGGGTACCTTCAAATGTTCCATAGCATTCATGCCCAGGTTCTAAAATTGACAATAATATGTGATAATTTCATAGTTTTTAATTTTAATTAGAGCCAATAAGATCTAATTGCAGGTTTTAAAACAATAACGTTTATTAGTTGGGTACATACCTGGTATAACACATGTTGGACATCTACAGGGTTCCGGTCCTGGTACGGTAATGCCATCAGGGGTACAGCGTATTGATGGACAACTGCAAACTAGAAAAAAAAAATGGCAAATGATTGTGTAATTGGATTCATTATAACAGCAAATGCCGGATAAGATTATAGAGCCTATATGAAATTATTACTTGGATTTGTTCCAGTTATTTCGCTTTTTATAGCATACTCTGATACAAAGAGTGTAGAAAAAAACTAGATAATGTCAAGTCAAAACAAGACAAACATATTTTGATTTCGTCATAAACAAAATTTGCACACATAGCCAGGTTTATAATAAATTGATTTTAAGAATCATAGATAACTCTGAAAATCAACAATTTTAGATGTTATATACAGTGTGTATCTGCCAAATGGAATAAATTCGATAATAAATAAATGGGGCACTTTCCGAAAAAACGCTCGAACACGTGTCAATTTTGTTTTTTTGCTTGAGATTTTTTCCCATGAATTTTTTTATACAGGGTGTTCCGAAAACAGCTGTACCATTATCAACTTTAATTTTTTTAATGGTACCCCTGTATATTATGACATTTCTGGATTCTGCGAAAAATTCTAGAGAAATTTCATGTACAATGTCATATACCTATCTTCAACTGTTTCGGAAATATTGACAGTTGAAAATTGACTTTTTTCATCTTGGACAGACTGTAAAACCTGAAGGGTTAATTTTACAGCAAAACCGATAATACATTCTTATCTTAGTTTTTCATAAACTATCATTTGACACCAACTTTGAATTTAATCCATGATTAGAAATTTCGCCTAACTTATTAATCTCCGGTTAAATTCAAAGTTGCTGTCAAAGGATAGCTTATGAAAATCTAGGATAGGAATGTAAAAACGGTTTCGCTGTAAAATCAACCGTTTAGCTTTTACAGTCTGTCAAAGATGCAAAAAAGTCAATTTTCAACTGTCAATATTTCCGAAACAGTTGAAGATAGCTTTATGACATTGTACATGAAATATGTCTAGAATTTTCCGCAAAATCCAGAAATGTCCTAATATACAGGGGGTACCATTAAAAAAACTGAAAATGATAACGGTACAGCTTTTTTCGGAACACCCTGTATAAAAAAATTGGTGTGAAAAAATCCCAAGCAAAAAAAACAAAATTGACGTATTCGAGCGTTTTTTCGAATATTTTCCCATTTATTTATTATCGAATTTATTCCATTTGGCTGATAGACACTGTACAGGGTGTCCCACGGTGGATGGCGTATTAGACGTTAATGCAAAACTAAAAAGCGGATCATTTGGAAAATTTGGCAACCGGGATAAACGACCATAATCTACACTTTAAAAATATTTTTGTTTATGCGGTGTTGCCGCTTCTACTCTAAACTAGTGGCAACATCGCTATTTTAAATGGAACACCCTGTATGTAATTGCATATTTGGATTCTACGTAAAATTCTGAGCAGATTTTATGTGATATACCCTATACCTAAGTTCAACTGTTTTGGAAATATTGACAGTTGAAAATTGACTTTTTTCAACTTTGACAGGCTGTAAAACCTAAACGGGTAATTTTAGAGGAAAACCGATTTTACATTCCTATCTTAGATTTTTATAAACTATCATTTGACACCAACTTTGAACTAAACCGTAGATTAAATTTAACTAGAATTTTTAATCATGGATTTAATTCAAAGTTGGTGTCAAATGATAGTTTATAAAAATCTAAGATAGGAATGTGAAATCGGTTTTCCTCTAAAATTAACCGTTCAGGTCTCACAGCCTGTCAAAGTTGCAAAAAGTCAATTTTCAACTGTCAATATTTCCAAAACAGCTGAACTTAGGTATAGGGTACATCACATGAAATCTGCTCAGAATTTCACGTAGAATCCAAACATGCAATCACATACAGGGTGTTCCATTTAAAATAGCGATGTTGCCACTAGTTTAGAGTAGAACCGGCAACACCGCATGGACAAAAATATTTTTAAAGTGTAGATCATGGTCGTTTATCCCGGTTGCCAAATTTTTTGAAATAATGCGCTTTTTAGTTCTCCATAAACGTCTTATACGCCATACACCGTGGGACATTCACACTGTATAGTTACAATACATAAAACAATACAACGTTAAGGCATAATATTATTAGTCCTTGATTACTTGAAACTTTAAAGGTTACCATAGAACCAAGAGATTTATTAAAACCGAAGTTAGAGATCGATTAACATCACGAGGTATCAAATCTAATACTTGAAATATTTTCTCTCAGAGAGCACAAAAAAATTTAAACCAGTCAAATGCCGTTAATAGCCTTGTTCGGGTTTGCAAAAAGGACGATTCTAGAGCGGTTCAAGAATCAACAAAATGGCAACGGCTCGGCTATCACAAATTTCAATAATAAGCTGTGTCGCAAATCGGGAAACACCATTGCAGCATTTTCTCGAGAATTCATCAGGTAGATGAAAGAGAACAAGAAAATTAAATATTGTCGCGATTTTCACGGGTCCACTTGAAAAACACGTAAATAATACAATAAGATTCCTGAATACTAGCACACGGCACACGTAACTAATCACGCCAGCCTCTCCAGACCGATACTGTATCGTAACACTGTCTCCTTATCAAATCAGATCGTCTTGATCTGACTATTCTCGTGATAAGCTTCCAGCCAGCACCATCTGCTCCTCTACGTCTAACCTCAACTTAGATTCATAATAATTTTCCATGGCATTTTCTATCTTCCCAATACCAGCAGAAAGTATGCCCTTCAGAGTCCCTGGAACTATGTCTGAAAACATGTCCTATGGATCTATGTTCTTCGTCATACTTGTTATCATCTTCTTTATCCCTCATGCCTTACAGCTCTATATGTCTGGGATGTCTTTCGGTCCACCCAGGTCTACCCTCAAGGAATTCTTTTTCCTATAGAATGACGTCACGGAAACAAGAAGAATAGCTACCTGTTCCTTGTTGATTAGGTTCCATGCTTCAAGAGAACTCCAACTATGAGCAGTTGCGATTTACGTTCTAAACGCTATTCATTTATTGGTGGAAAGCTCCAACTTCCCAAAAACATCTATTTTTCTAATATTTGAGTTATGTTATGAGATTCATAACACAGTTAGTGGTGTTATGGACTAGGTTATGAATCTTTAACACAATTTTTGGCATGATGGACTAGGTTCTGAATCCACTGCACAACTAGTTTTTGTGATTTGACAAATGTCATAGTTAAACCTGTGAAGGTAAAATGAAGGTAGACAACTATAGGTACTAATAAAGGAAAATTGAAAAATAGTATATTATTCAACGAGCGGATAATGATGGCTATTACTCACGAAGGTTGAAGTTTGCACTACAAGCCGCAGGCGAGTAGTATATTCATCCGAGTGAGTAATAGCCACTACCCGCGATTTTTTCTATGATTTATAGAAAATAGGCACGAGCTATGCGGTTTTTTATTTAATTTTCATAATAAAATTATGTGACAATTCTGACAAGTAGAGATCAAAGTGAGGTTAGGTTAGCACAAGTCTTGTTTAAATCAGCTGTCAAAATGACCGATTGGAAGGTTGAAGTATGTTGTCAACTTGTTGAATTTTCTGATCGGCTCTCAAATAGTGGAGTAATGAGACCAGGATATTTTCATTGGTTGAAAACAATTGAGTAATGAAAAAAAAAAAAAAAAAACTCACTGTATGAGTTATCATTCACATTGAGCAATAGGAAATGGATGTATATTATGCATATTATTCAACACTCATAGAAAAATATTATTATCCTATTTTTGGCTTTGTAGATAAAAAGCTGTACCTACATCACACGTGCATTTGATCATGACTGCAAAACTCGTGTGATTAGAACAACTCGGTCTACCTCGTCGTTCTAATCTTTCACACTCGTTATTGTAATCATGTTTATAAACGCACTTGTAATGTAAATACCCATTATAACCACTAAACGTAACAACGATAATAGTACATCATGAAATAGTATAAACTAATATATCTAAAGTTCGTTTCACCAGGGTTCATACTTGACCTTGAAACTTGACAAAAAAGGGTTTTCGTAGATTAATTCATATAACACATTCAATTTTTTTGACAAATTAAAATTAATGACGTCTGATTTAAGAACCGACGAACGTTTTTGACGTCATTGATTTGTTTCAGTCAATTTTTATTTGTTAAACAAGGAAGATAAATGCTGGTGGCAAGTACAAACCCTGGTGAAACAAACTTTATATTTATCATTATTACCATCATTACATTACACTTTACAGAATAAAGCTAGGTTAGGTATACAAAATTAATATACTATTTAAATATAAGATTGAAAGCCCTTAAGCACCTGTATAGGCCAAAAATGATTTAGAATTATTTTTTAGGGTTAATGTGAAGTACCCCATAAACACAATACATTCAATAATGTAATGACCAAATTAGTGACTCAATAGTGCGCTAAATTGATCATACTTGTCAACCATATGATTTTTTGTTAGAGAAAAATTAGTATTTGTCGTTCTAGTATTGTTGAGCAATGTATTATACAGATTGGGGCCCAAATAACTAATTGACTTTTTTCGGTATTCGCTATAACATCTTGGAACTATCAGTTGCTTATTGATGTCGGATATAAAATTGTTTTTTTTTTTATACTTTATACCGGTATGTGCCAGTATACCATAATGCAGGATTGATTCAACCAGGCTCTGGCACAGGGCTATCAACATATTTCGATTAAAAATCTCTTTTAAAGTTACGAAACCTATGAATCAAACATTTAAACGTTTTTGTTATTCAGTCCAGATGTAGGTCCCATTTAAGGTACCGATCAATTATAATTCCAAGATATTTAGTGCTGGTACTTCATTTATCTTATCAGTTTGAATGTAGTCAAATTGGCATGGCAGACATGGTCTGTTTATGCAAATTTTGGATAAATAACAATCAGGGGCAGTTTGTATACCTACATCAAGCCATTTTTCAATTATTGAAATGCCATTTTTAGCGTTGTCCCTAACCTATTTCCAATTTGTGCTGCTGAAGACAATTACCGCTTCATCCTTGTAGGGAATAATTT